GAAATAGGAAAGCACAGGATGACTGCAATCCTAGGTTTTGTAAATAACGCAGGCTGGTACTGAAGAGAACGCGGACACAACAATTTTTGAGGGTGTGGATCAAAACGGAGCTCAGCTCTACTTGGAGGTCCTCAGAGAGGTCCTTACCTCTTCTACCTACCTACCTACCATAATACTAAGTACATTTGAATAAATAATTTAACAAATAATAATAACACAACATTTCGATAACTACTCCGAAATTTGGTATTTTAAAGTTGGAGCTAATTGGTACCACTGTCAGGTTGGACGGTTTGCCGACTGTTTTTATACCCTTGCAGAGGGTATTATGATTTCAGAAGTTTGCAACGCAGTGAAGGAAATGTTTCCGACCCCATAAAGTATATATATTCTTGATCAGCACCAATAGCCGAGTCTATCTAGCCATGTCCGTCTGTCTGTCTGACCGTCTGTCCAGCACCAATAGCCGAGTCTATCTAGCCATGTCCGTCTGTTCGTCTGTCCGTCTGTCCGTCTGTCCGTCCGTCTGTCTGTCTGTCTGTATGTCCGTCTGTCCGTCTGTCCGTTTCTTTGCGAACTAGTCTCTCAGTTTTAAAGCTATCGCGATGAAACTTTCCCGAAAGTCTTCTTTCTATTGCAGGTAGTACATATGTCGGAGCGAGCCGGATCGGCCCACTGTATCTTAAGGCTCCCATAGGAATATTCAAACACATATAAGAAAATTCTTGTAACTAGGAAGTAGGCGTTTTGATTCTTGACTACTTAAAAACAAAATTTAAATAGAAACGCTGAATCTGTAATCCCTGGAACTCCAACGAGTGAGCATTACTTTATCTGCAAGGGTATATAAGCTTCGGCTGGCCGAAGGTAGCTTCCTTTCTTGTTTTTAATATTTCCGAGTTTTGAATTAAATTTAACAAAAATCGGACGACTATATTTAATGCAATGGGGAAGGATAGAAAACATAATGTTACAATAATACGAAATTTAAAATTTTTGCAATTTGTAAGTTAATACACACAAAAAAAAACTTGGTAAAATCAACTGTAATAATTGTCAAACAGGCCCCAACCAGCAAAATTGTCAATTCTACTAAGTAAATTGTCATTTCGCAACAACAAAATACACACAATTAGCAAAGACACAAACCCAAAGCAAAAACAAAATACACGTAACTCTTTTAATAGTTACGTAACTATCTTTGTTGATCAATTTTACCAAGCAAATTTTTTTGTGTGTAGGAATGATCTCAAAAGGTATATAAGCTTCGGCTGGCCGAAGCTAGCTTTCTTTCTTTTCTGTTGAGCTTTTACCTGTAGCCTTTACTGCAGTTTAAGCTGGTATCAGATTTCATTCCTGCAGACAAGTTCAATACACTGTCCAAGTCACACCACTTTCAACCAACCACACAAAAAAAAAACTTGGTAAAATCAACTGTAATAATTGTCAAACAGGACCCAACCAGCAAAATTGTCAATTCTACTAAATAAATTGTCATTTCGCAACAACGAAATACACACAATTAGCAAAGACACAAACCCAAAGAAAAAACAAAATACACGTAACTATTTTAATAGTTACGTAACTATCTTTGTTGGTCAATTTTACCAAGCATATTTTTTTGTGTGAGTAAAACATATAACTGATACGGTCCCTGAAGAAGACGCAAAGAATTTCCTCCCCGACCAGGGACTGAACACAAACATCCGATGTGACATTATTCTGTACTGAATGCTTAATTTACATGTTAAACTTTTAAGTTAAATGCAAAACAGCCAGTAATAGAGGTAAGGAAATACACTTTACAAAACGCTAAGAAAAAATGTCCCGAGCGACATGACCCGAGCGAATGCTGTTGAAACTGCTTAAAAAAAAAACTGCAAACAATTTTTGAGTAAAACCAAAACCATTTCATAGCGACATGTTTGGACAACATTCTAAAAAAAATCACATTCAAATATTCCATCAGAATTCGCTTAATTCTGTTGTTGAATGAACTTCTCCAAAATCCACTTCTATTTTTGTCCCGAGCGAATACGGCAGTTTTTTAACGATACCTTAAAAACTAAAAGTGGTACAAAATCAAGATTGTTACACAAAATAGAGCTTGGGAAGAGAGAAAAAAAAGCTCATTAAAATGAAAAAAAAATTAAAATGCATTTTTTTTTCCAATTTTTTTTTCAACTTTAAAGGTGCGCAAATGTCCCGAGCGACAATTTGGAAGTGCCCATATACATTTAAATTTAAATTGTTCAAGTTAAAAAGACGTTTAATTATTTCAAAATGCCTTTTAAACGATGTATAGCACATGACTGTACCTTTAGTAGCGTAGAACTTACAAACTAAGGAAATGTAGCTATTTTTAGCTTTTTCCCGCTAAAGTAGCGGCTTTTTCCAAAAGTCGTAGAAGAAAAGATTCCTTTATGGAACTCTTAAGTGCAAATTTACTGATTCCATGACCCTAAAATACAGTTCGGATACCCTCACACAAAATTCAATACTCAGGGAGCGTTAGTAGTTCGAGCTGGCAAAAGTGGTTATTTTCGTATAAAAAAAACATGACTTTTTACAGTAATGTGTTATATACCAAAATTTAAGGAATCTCAAGGGCTATACAGTTTAAAGTTTTAAAGAAAATCGTTAGAGCCGTTTTTGAGAAAAATAAAAAAAAGCTAAAAAAAAAAAAGTTTTAAAAAATTTTCTTTTGTTCATATCTTTTTAACTATTATATTTACATAAATTGCATATAGAAGGCGTTTATAGCATTTAAAAATACCTTTCAAACGAGATGCACAAGTCTGTAGCTTTAGTAGTATAGAAGTTACGGCTTTCCGAATTTTAGCTATTTATAGCTGTTTTCCCGCTAAACTAGCGAGTTTTTCCAAAAGTGGTTGAACAAAATTTTTATATCGATGTGATGAACGTCATATCAAATTTTCAAAACTTAAAAAACATATTTTGACAAACTGACAAACAGAATTAAATTTTCATTTTGGGAAGACGAAGAAAATCCTATTTTGGCTTTAACTTTTGAACGGAACATTGCGAGGGGGCAATTATCCCCACCGGCCCCAACAGCTCCAAATTTCAAAATTTGCACATTTTCACTTTCACTACTCACTCTCCCAAGCCAATTGATTTTCTTAAAGTCTTGGTATGCAATCCTTTAAGTTTTTGCAATACCCTTCGATTGGTGTATTACTCATTACGATCGGACTATCACAGCAGATTTTCAATTTTGCGGCTATCACTATGGACGGCAGTCCATGTAGTGACGAAGCGCACCAGGAGAGTGTGCGAAGGCGACTACTTTGAAGTAAGCAAATCCAGGCTTGAAAACTTTTTGGACCGTCCAATTGGTCAGACTTCTTATAAATATGATCCTAACTTAAGATAAAATACTAACCGTAGCCCCATTCTGGATTTAATATTTTAAAATTTATAAATAACACAAGTGTACTTATTATTTTGACCACACCAAAACCGACCTTTCACACAAATGTATGGCTAACATGGAATAGACAGGTTTTACTGTATCCATTGTTTATTAAAATATTGCAGAACAGAATAACCTTTCAAAATAAAATGGTTTGGGAGGTTTGGCCAGTAGTGTATATGTATGTTAGGACGCCGGTAAAATTATAAGATTAACATATGGGCAATTCTCTGAGGATGTCAACCGAGCCAAAAAGCTTGAAACTTGATAAAAACATATTTCTATATGATTTTGAACTGATATTTGATTCTAGTTAGATGTATCCTCAACTAATCTAAGTAATTTGAGTATCCTTGGTTAATTTTTTAGGACAATACGTACAAAAAAGTACTTGTTTGGTATTTTTATACCCGTTACTCCTACACACAAAAAAAAACTTGGTAAAATCAACTGTAATAATTGTCAAACAGGCCCCAACCAGCAAAATTGTCAATTCTACTAAGTAAATAGTCATTTCACAACAACAAAATACACACAATTACCAAAGACACAAACCCAAAGCAAAAACAAAATACACGTAACTATTTTAATAGTTACGTAACTATCTTTGTTGGTCAATTTTACCAAGCAAATTTTTTTGTGTGTAGAGTAAAATGGTATACTAGATTCGTGCAAAAGTATGTAGCAGCTAGAAGGAAGCGTTTCCGACCCCATAAAGTATATATATTCTTGATCAGGATCACTAGCCGAGTCGATCTAGCCATGTCCGTCTGTCCGTCTGTCTGTCCGTCTGTCTGTCCGTCTGTCTGTCTGTCTGTCTGTCTGTCCGTATGAACGCTGAGATCTCGGAAACTATAAAAGCTAGACGATTGGCATTTTGCATGCAGATTCTAGGAGCTCCTACGCAGCGCAAGTTTGTTTCAAAAAGGTGCCACGCCCCCTCTAACGCCCAAAAGCCCCTTTAACGCCCACAGTTTTGAAGCTATTATGAAAATAGTAACTGATATGTATTCGCTTCGTCAATACCTATCGATTGGCCAAGTAAAAAATTGTCACGCCCACTCTAACGCCCACAAACCCAATAAACGCTTAAACCTGGCCAGCGCCTACATTTCCGCCTTTCATGACCAATAGTACCAATATCTGGCGGTAGATGGAGCAATACAATATACACTAGCGCCATCTAGGAAATGGCATTTTTTTCTGTGGTCACTCTAATTCACATTATGTTAATGCAAATTTTAAATTATTTGAAATGCGGCGCGCATTTTGTCTCTTTTTGCTCGTATACGTTTTTCACAAGTGCATTCAGAAGTGCGCTAGAGAGAGACGGAAGATGTGCTAGGCAGAATTGAAAGTTTTAGAAAGCGTCTTCTAGAAAGAGATCCCTGGGTAAAAATCGAGCGGCGAAAAAACATATAAGAAGGCATATTTCTATTAAGTTGTTAAGCTGAGTAACGGGTATCTAATAGTCGAGGCACTCGACTATAGCGTTCTCTCTTGTTTTTTATGTATGTATGCAGATAAATAGGCAGCAACACTAATGCAAATCCTAATTGTACAGATTGTACGCCGCCGATCCCGACGCGCCCGCTTGTGGAACATGGGGCTGCTGTTCCTAATCTACTACTGCGTCAGCATATACTCCGCTAAAGGGGATACCAGAGAGGGACAGCCCCTACCGCTAGATGTGGGCAGTTTGGCCGAGGACGCCGGCGACGCAGAGACCAACGGAGAGGATACTGCAGAGGGGAACACAGAGGCTAGCTCTGTCCTGCAAACCACACCGGCGTTTGAGGTGAACAGTTTAAGTTTTTCAGCAAATCACTTAATACTTAATTTCTTCTTGATAGGCCGTGGCGACCACGCAATCCACTCCCATACATGGCGCCGTTCCCACCTGGCGTCCCAAACGGGATAACTGCACGCCCCCGGCCATCGAACAGTTCCCAGAGCCGCTGATGAACAAGTGGGCGCGCCAGCACGGTGGCCTCATCCTGCACATCCTAGTTGCCGTCTTCACCTTTTTCGGCCTGGCAATAGTGTGTGACGAGTACTTTGTGGCCAGTCTGGATCGTTTGTGCGAGGGTAAGCTTTCAATCCGGGAGTTTCAGAGTGTAACAAAAAGAAAGTGCACGCAATCTTTTCTGCAAATGAATGAAACATTGGGGCGGTAAAAAATGAAATGAAAAAGTTCCACAAATTTGTCTAACCTAATTTTACTCTAATGGTGTCACCAAAACCGTTCCTCAAATTAACAAAAAGTTTGTGTTGAAACACAAACAGATTTTGTTGCTTTTCAAACCAAACAACCCAAAACCGACCGACCAAAAAAGTGAAATTAATCATATGTTTGATGTCATCAATGATGACATAAAATAAATGTATCGAAAAAAAACATTTATTTTTGAAGAATTTATAAAAATACATGACTGCTATATAAATTTGTTTATAAAGTACGAGTATATGTACATATATATTTTCTATCAGGATCACTAGACACTCGATCTAGCCATGTCTTTCTGTCTGTACGTCCGTATTGACTAGGGATGTCGAAATATTTAAAAATATCGTATCGATGATATTTTTTATTTAAACAAAAAATCAAAATGATATTTGATATATCAGAAAAAAAATATCTATATATCAGATATTTTTGATATTTTTGTTTTATTATTTTTTTTTTTAATTTTAAGCTGCATAAGAAATAACCACTAAACATTAACCCACATACGATTTTAAATTATATTTTTATAATTTTTAGTTTATATTTATCAATAAATGCTTTTATTTATAATATTAAAATCTAGTATTTCCCGCGCTTTTTTTTTCTTGAATTCTGAATGCTATGCTATGCATTTTCACTTGCCGAAAAATAAATTTTAGCGGCGCTCATTTTTCACATATGTATTTTTTCTTGTCCCGATGAAAAGTGAAACCACTTAAAATTATCAAAAAAATGTGAAAAAAAATCGATGATATATGATAATTATTCAAAAAAAATATCACGATAAAAATATTTATTTTTTCGTAAAAAATATCGATATATTGATATTTTGATATATTTTCGACATCCCTAGTATTGACGCTAAGATCGCGGACTAGAGGTGCAGAAACATCGATGTTTGCAGACATCGATGTTTTTCGATGTTTTTCAAAAAACATCGAATGAAACATCGATGTTTTCCAAAAAATAATTTATATTATAAAATATAATTAAAAATCTCATTGGAATTTTTATTAAAAATATAAAACAAAACATTTATTCATTTATGAAACTAAAAATGAAAAACAAAACGAAAAATTCATTTAGGAAACTAAAAATAAAAAACAAAATCAAAAATTCAATCAAATGAGATCATGTTACAGTCTTGTGAGATTACTTTTTAAAGCTGTTGTAGTTCTTATTTATGAACATTAGCTGATCTACGATGCCTGACTTCAAACGGGTACGGCGATCCGAAATGATTTGCCCCGCCTTGCTAAAAGCTCGTTCGGATTCGCTGAACGTTGCAGGAATGCACAAAAATTTTTTTGCCAGCTCCTGGTAAGGCTTCATGTTCTTTGAACATTGCTAAAATAAGAATAATTTATTTTAATACATTCACAATACGCCATTTGTATATTTACCATCCAAAAATGTAAGGGATCACATGTTTCGGGCTCATTTGTGCTTTCAACATGCTGTCTGAGCAATACGATTGCATCAAAACCAGTCGTTGTTGTTCTTGCGTTCAATTTTAATTGAAGCATTGTAAAATAGCTTGAAGAATCAGTTGGATCTGGTGGTGTAGGCGATATCGACGCTGCTGAGGACTGTTCTTGATCCAATTTGTTTATAACATTATGAAGGCCATCTTCTAAGGCGCTACATGCTTGATCAGCGTTACTAGTTTTTTGAAAACCATGCTTTTTAAACCTTGGGTCTTTCATTGTGGCAATCATTGCAACGGTGCGTGTCTCATAGTGGCCAAAGCGATCTTTGAAGCGATCACTTAAAGTGTCAAACGCAAGAATCACTTCTGGGGTTTTAAAGCTATTTTTGTATGACAATACTTGTACTTGCATTTCGCACACCATAGGAATAACAAGGGACATTGTAGGGTACTTTCCGCCCGATATTAACTTTGTCGCTTTTTCAAATGGACGAAGTAGCACACAGAGTTCTTCCAAAGGAGCCTTTGCTGTCCCTAGTAGAGCTATTGAGAGTGCCTCTTTGGTCTGCAAAATCCGTTCGATCATTTGGAACGCACTATTCCACCTTGTTGGGACTTCCTGAACTAATCCTATGGGGTCTGTCACCATCTGAGCTTCCCTAAATTTTGCCATTGCAGTCGAGCTACGTTTAATAAATGCCACACACAAGATGGTCCTCGCTTCCTTTTTGGAGACGGGCCTTCTATGTTTTCCTTGGTTGTAACTAACATTCAAAATAAAATGTACATATACATAAGTATATGCCGCCACACGTGGGACGTACACAATCAACTACACGGCGTGCAGTTGGACATATACTGCGCTGTTTTTAAATTACTTACTGTTTAAGAATTTATCCATAGTATAGAGCTTAAGCAGCGTCGCGCCTACACCACCAATACCATTCCCTATAGATTGAAGCAAATAACACAGGCCGACAAAATGTGACGGTCCTTCACAGTGACGATTCACAAACAGTGCCCAAACCTGTCACAATTTTAAATCACATATTTCTAAACGATCTAAGTAGTTTTGCTTTGAATATAAGCACATGAGCGTAGCCTACTAATCTTTGGGGGCTGAAATGCCTGAAGTGTTATCCCCCTCCAGCTTTTAACTTACGCCCATGTATAAATATTTTTAAAGCAAGGGTCACTTGTGCTCAAAAATAGTTAAGCGTTACGTAAAATAGTGACAGGTTTGGGCACTGTTTGTGAATCGTCACTGTGAAGGAAGTAAGAAAAACAATTTTAAAAATTCCAAAACAATTCACAAAAACCTGATGAGTGTCCTAAACAGTAAGGACATAAGGTGTCTTTGGATCAAAAATGCATTGTTGAAGAAAATATTTTTATTTAATTTTTAAACGCTGTTCACAAATGAAGATTTTTAAACTTTGCTGTGACTTTAAAATTTTGAATGCGCTCATCTCCTCTTGTGGTTGAGTTAGATTGAATTTTCCAAAACGACCGTATAAAACAGACATGTAACTATTTAATTCCGAAAAGATTTCCAAAATTGGTTGACCACTCTTGAAGATATATCCCAAAAGACGAAGAAAATTTGTGATTTTCTTAAATTAAAGATACCGCAAATACCAGAGCTGATGGACTATAGGCGTAGTGGCAACTTATGCTTAGAAAAGCCTCATCTATCGAAATAAAATGGTGGCAGGCCTGGACACCGACCCATGTCACATTTTGTCGGCCTGTGTAATTAAACATTATTATTATCATAATACGAAAAATGTAACAAATTACAAACTTTTAACGTTACTTTTCCTTTGAACAGTGATGGCCCTAAAAACATCAATGGTCCAAAAAAACATCGATGTTTTGAAAAATTGGAAAAACATCGATGCATCGATGTTTCCATCGATGTTTCTGCACCCCTATCGCGGACAGCAACGCTACAGTCGAGAGCCCAGACTATCAGATACCCGTTACTCAGCTAAAGAAAGTAATGAAAGTGCAAGCAGCAAAGCTACTACATGTACTGCTTGAATTGCATTATTTGCTGATCAATTTTTAGTGACGGGTCCGATTGTAAAATTGTTTCTACATTTCGATTGCTCTTAATGAACAAAACAAAATAACATTTACAGTTTTACAAAATCTGTAAATATGTGGGCGCCAGGCTTTTTTAAGATTATTTAGGGCGATTGTGGGCGTTAGACTGGCGCTCGACTGAAACATGTAAGTCTGTCCGTCCATATAAACGCTGAGAAATCGGCTACTATTATAGTTTCCCAGATTTCAGCGTTCATTCATAGGGTCGGAAACGCTTCCTTCTACCTGTTACATACATTTGCACCAATACAATATACCCTTTAACTGTACGAGAAACGGGTGTAACAAATATCATTAATTATTAAATGTGGCTATTTGTAAACGTCGAAGACAACATTTTTGATATACCAGGTTCTTGATTTCCTTACCTTTTATTCAGGGACCTTTTTTTTTTTAAATTTTAATTACTTACGGTCTCTAATTAAATCGATTTCATTGAAACTCCCGATAAACTGATATTCTAGGTTCCAATTAGAAACTGATACTTACTAGTAGCACAATTTATTCTGGTTAACTTATAGAGCTAAAGCTTTCGCCAGATGTTGCGGGAGCCACTTTTATGGCTGCCGGAAGCTCGGCACCTGAGTTGGCCACTGTAGTAATAGGAGTGTTTTTTGCCAAGGACGACATCGGCATTAGCGGAGTCATTGGATCAGCCGTGTTTAATATCATGTTCGTAATCTCCGTCTGCGCTCTGTGCTCGGGCACCGTCTGCCAACTGAACTGGTGGCCCCTGGTACGAGACTGCTTCTTTTACTGTGTCTCTATCCTGGTTATGCTGATAATCATCTTCAACGACGTCATATCCTGCGTAAGTTGGGAGCGACAGGATGCTATTTAATCTAACCCTTCACTTTTTTTAAGTTTGAGTCAGTGGTGATGCTTCTCTGCTACGTAGGATACTGTGTGGCCCTCCACTTTAACACAGAACTGGAACGTTGGGCGCTGGGTTTAAACTTACCCTTCAAACTTCCCAGCAAGGAGGAACAGTCGGCGCTGGTGACCTACAAGAACGTGCCCGAGAGCTCCTACACCCAAGAAAGTGCTGCCCAGGGACAGCAAGCCCCGAAAGACAGCGAGGACAGAAGTGCGGAGCCGCAGAACGACTACCAGAACTACAGTGATCCCAATGCCAGCTGGGACCCGAACGCCGCCTGGGGAGAGGAGGGCCAGAGCCAGCCGAAACCAGTGGCCAATCTACCGACGGTTGACGACTGGGGCATGGGCCAGATAGGCCAGGAGAATATGGGCTACCACGCCGACCAGCCGGAGTCCGTCATCACTGGAGAGGCAGCATCGGCGGCGAAGGCCACCAAGGGTGGTGGGCAGGTGATGCCCACTCAGGCCGCCTCGGCCGGAGTCGCCGACTATTACAAGTCCACGGACAAGCAGCGGGAGCCACGTCGCGATCCTCTACTCCGGCCAACGGAGGGTGGCCTGCCAGCCCTGGTTGCCTGGTACGTGGTCTACCCGATTCACTTCCTCTGCAAGAAGACAATGCCCGACTGCAGACAGGAACAGTATCGCAACTGGTACCCATTTACTTTCCTGATGTCGATGGTGTGGATATCGTTCTACTCCTACTTCATGGTGTGGATGATCACCGTTATAGGATCCACGTTGGCCATTCCGGACACCGTGATGGGTCTGACGTTTGTGGCCGCTGGCGTGTCCGTCCCGGATGCCCTAAGCTCAATAGCCGTTATCAAAGAGGGCTTCGGCGACATGGCCGTGTCGAACGCAATTGGCTCGAATGTCTTTGATATACTAGTGTGCTTAGGTCTTCCCTGGTTCATACAAACGGCCATTATAAAGCCCGGCTCGCACGTCAACGTAATATCCAAGGGTATGTACTGAACCCGATATCCCTTATCTGCTTGCGTGTCTATGTACCTCGTAGTGCTCGTCGAGTCTAAAGTGTGGTATGCCTGGCATGAGTGTCTTAGCCATTATTCTAGCTAAAGTAGTATCACACTGATCCCGTTCAAGTCTAATTCCTGAGTACTTCTTTTCTCTCCCCCTCTTTGTCATTTCTCACCGACTCGATGTGCAGGACTAGCATACTCCACGCTGTCACTCTTCTCCACCGTTGTCTTCTTGATCCTTTCGACGCATCTGAACGGCTGGAAGCTGGACAAGCGCCTGGGAATTATACTTATGGTCTGGTACTTATTCTTCATTACGCTTGCGTCGCTCTACGAATTGAATGTCTTTGGCTACATGAACCCACCCGAGTGCCCCAGTGAGTATGCTCCATAATTGCGGTCGGTTTTCCTTCTCTAACCGTTCCATTTCAGGCACATACTAGAAACCCGACGATGTCAACAACGCACGTATATTCGCATTACCAGCACCAAGTACCATATACATATGGACATGCATGTAGAGTTATTCATAGCCACAGCTAAAACAAAACCAAAAACACTGCAAGAGCTCGAAAGGAAGAAGAATAGGGAGGAACATTTACCTATGGTTAATTAGAGGACAAATTTAATACTCAGAAAGCGTTTTACATGGATTTTTACATTGCACCAAAAGAAAAAAAGAAAGATAAACCAAAAATATTATATAAATGTAAATGTATACTATTTATTAATATGTATTTAAATGATACCTAGACATCTATCAACGTATGTAAGGGAGATTCTTTCTAAATTGAGAAACCCTTTAATGTTGTTTCACATTGAATTAATTTTTAATTATTAGCAGGCCATGTGTTTCGTATTTACCTAAGGGGAGGACGTGTCAGCCAATAGATTCCTCCTGTGAAACCAATTACCAAAAACAAAGGGGATCAAAAAACACCCATACTGTGGTTACGTAATATATGGAAAAGCTCGTAGTATAAACTCACTTTTCAATTCTTGAAGACACATTAATATTTACTGTTTTATGTATTATGTGCTCTATTTTAGGACCCTCAGAACTAGACCTCGGATTTTGCATATATGCATACTTTTATAGGATAAAGATTCCGAAAACACCAAAGTTCGTTTCAATAAAAATATAGTTTAAAAATAATGGAATATTTTTTTTTTTGAATAAAATGCATATGCATAAAATATGCAAAATATAAAAAAAACGCAACTATTCAAGATTGACCATTTCATAGCCAACCTAATTTAGCCGAAGAAAATTGTTTGTTCCTTTTTGTCATTTCTGGGATATCTAATTTTTTCCCAAATTTAAGGAAACCCTATTTATAACGGGTGTTTTTTTAGAGGTATAGAACTTTAAGTTGCAATAAAACAACGATGGATTATTCGATTGACATGAATTTTTTTTATTCGAAAGATAATCTTGTGGCATTTTATTTTATATATGATTTCTGGCATATGACCGCCACGGCTGGCTCGGATGTAGTCCAATCTGGACGTCCAATTTTCGATGACTTTTCCCAAAATTTGCGGCCGTATATCGGCAATAACACGGCAATGTTGTCTTCCAAATGGTCAAGCGTTTGTGGCTTATCCGCATAGACCAATGAATTCACATAGCCCCACAGAAAGTAGTCTAGCGGTGTTAAATCACAAGATCTTGGAGGCAAATTTACAGGTCCAGAACGTGAAATTAGGCGGTCAACAAACGTGTCTTTCAATAAATCGAAAAAAAATTGCACTATTTGCAAGCGTTGTACAGGCGTGAGTCTATTCATGATGAATTGCCAAACCAAACTGAGAATATCGGAATAAATCGGTCGTTGAACAGTGATGCCAACTTAAAGTTCTATACCTCTAAAAAAACAACCTTTATATCAAACGAATAGGCAAGAAGGCGGCCAAACTGCTCGTTTAAATTGCTCGTCGTGTTTACTAAACGTTTCTTAGAATACCAGAGGCATGCATTAAAAATTTGAGCGTCCAGTTGTTTGCATATATTTTTTGCATATATTTTGAATATTTCCGATATGCATTCTAATTTATAACATTTGAAAAATATGACACCTACCTATAAATTTTGGTAAAAATCGAACCAAAAATGGACAAATATGCAAAATTCGAGGTCTACTCATAACTAACATGAAAGGAAGCTAGCTTCGGCCAGCCGAAGTTTTTATACTCTTGCAGATCATTATTAATATACTATTAACTTAAAAAACATTAAAAATAGATTTTAGCTACTTTAGTATAATTTAGCCATTAATTTTTTTATTCTTTCTATGGCAGCTATTTGATATAGCCGTCCATATTTTGTTAACTTAAATTCCAATTTTTTAAATGTTAAAGAAAAGCTATATCCCAAAAAAGAACAGAATGCAATATATAACAACAAAAATATAATTTTTTTCCTATTAATTTCCATTTAATTTTCCGACCGTTTCTATGGCAGCTATATGATATAGTGATCCAATTTTTTTTTTAAATTTAATTCGAAATTCAAAAATAATAATATTTCCAGGAGTTAATTACAACGTAATATTTAAAATAAAACACCGCAGAAGAAAGAAGATTTTAGGGAAAGTTTCATCCCGATAGCGTAAAAACTGAGAGACTAGTTTACGTAGAAATGGACAGACAGACGGACATGGCTAGATCGACTCGTCTAGTGATGCTGATCAAAAATATGGGGTCAGAAACGTCTCTTTCACTGCGTTGCAAACTTTTGACTGAAATCGTAATACCGTCTGCAAGGGTATACAAATAAATTTTGAGAATGATCATAGTTATACATACACATGTTTTATAGCTTAGTTAACTGTCGCCCTTTTTATTTAAAAAAATAAGAAGTGTAACATTTTATATGTAATTATCTAAAACTAAAGGCCGGTTTTCTGAAAAAAAAAATTAAATCCTATTATTTGCTAGTACTAAAGCTTTATCAACCTTTGGTTCGTCTTTGTTTCTATAGGGGAGAGGTCTGTAGGTTGAGACACCTTTTGTTTTTAGTCTCCTATTTGGACATTCGCTTTTGAAACTTCACGTGTTAGGTACCGATCGAAAGGTTAGTCTATTAGCTTAATAAAAAACAAACAAAAATATTTTTTTTCCTTAGGGAAAACTGAAAAATTATTTTTTTTTAAAAGTCCCAAAAAACGACATTTTGAAAAAGAGGTCTGTAAGTTGAGACACTTTTAAAAGTCAATAATACTCACACAAAAAGTACTCCAAACTATAAGGAACTATTTATTTATGTTAATTTAATCAATTTTAGTTCGTCCTAAATTATTTACCATCCATTTTTTAAGAACTTAGACCAAATAACAATCAAAATCAAAAGGCTCTTTGAACATTCACTTTTCAAAGAAATGTACTGGCAGAAAGCGACCTCTGTTGGCCTAAGGCATTTTTGTATGAAAAACGGGTGTCTCAACTTACACGCTCAAAGTGTCTCAACTTACACAAAATGGGATGTTTCGGGAAAAAATTAATAACTTTTGTTCTGACTGTCACATAAAGCTGATTCTTTTTTTAATTTGTTAACAGTTAATATACTAATGTTTTAAATCTCTTACCAAGTTAATTTAAGGACGTTATTAATTTTAAATGGAATTTTGAAAAAAGTAGACAAAAACTTTTTTGGTGCAAAATGGTACAGGACTCTCACAGCATAAATCTGGCTAGAGCCTGGCTTATAATGTTTTCTCCAAAAGTTTTGTCACTAAAAAAGACTACAAAAAAAAAATAAAAAAAATTTTCTTATTGGAAAAGTTTTGAGAAAATTGAGTGTCTCAACTTACAGACTGTCTCAACCTTCAGACCTCTCCCCTACAATATATCAGTAATAGAAATATGGATTGTTTCATAATGAAACTTAACCACGTGTTTGAATATAATTATTCCAGTTACTCCTAGAGAAAAAGGGGTATATTGAATTCGTTGAATAGTACCTAACACACCCGGAAAAAAATTAGAAATGCACGCTTTCACTAGTGATGGTGATATTTTTGTAATTCTTTATTGTTTATATAATAGAGTCTTTTTATCTGCGCTAGAGTCCGATTGACTAACCTCTGGTCTATAGACCCATTTAAAGGTCCTGCGACCCTTTAGGCAAAGACGAATCATATTTTTATACTTCTCTAGAAATGGATTTTTAGATCATTTGCACTTTATTTAGGGAAATTATTGATATACAAATTTAGGATTCTATTACTTTAAAAATAGAAAATAGCCCAAAACGTACCTTTTAGTCTATTTATCTGTATCTATTTTTCTGGGTGCATGTAGAAGGAAGCTATTCCGACCCTGTAAAAAATACATATATTTTGGATTACGAGCAGATTTGATCTGTCCAAGTCCGTCAGGAAAATTTTGGTTTTCTGGGTTTAAATGTTAAAATGGTAAAGCTTCTTTAAAAATTTGAAATATTTTAAAGCTTAAAAAAAGGTTTCCCAATTCAGAAAGAACTACACTTACTTATGTAACAAAATAAAAGTATATATAAAGGAAGAATAGGAACTGTAGATAGGGAGACAAATGTATGTAACTAAGAATAACGAGAGCAAGGAAATATGCTATTGTTGCTAAGGGTAATAAGTAACAACTCAAAATGTCCTACACCACAATCAAATAGTTCTGCAATTATATAATATTATTTAGCCGCTTACATGTATGTATGTAAATAACTTTTGTCACACCGCTTTCTTACAACTTGATTATTTATATACCTTAATTTTACGAAATCTTGTAGAAACTCCGTTAATTAATTACTGGCGAGCTAGGGTTTGTGACCAAGAGAACGAATATTTTAAGACAGACCAGATATGCCAAGTTACGCTCTGTGGAACAAAAACAACGAAATTTGTTAGATTTGTTATCAACGATTTATTTTAATTATAAAATTAAAAAGAAATGTAAGATACGTACAATATGTATTTTTTTATATTTCACTAAATTTACAGATGCTGATTTAACGATAGCCCACGAAAAATGTCAATGCTTTTAGAATATACAAATTAACAATGAAGTGCAAAAAAAATTTATCAAAACGGCAATTAATCGTGTCAATTTATTATTGTAAATAACTTCCAGATATAAATTAAAACTTATTCTATGGAAAGCATACAAAACACCATATGTCAATTTATGCTGAAATTTATGTTCATAGCCAGCCTTGTTACCGTTTCAGTTGTTAATGTAAATTTGTAGTTCACAAAGTTTTAAAGGTCTCAACTGCTCTTCTGGATATCTTCTGAAAGTTTGTAATGACATATATTCTTCGTCTTGAACATTTACTTTAGTTATTTTACATTAAATATTTATTCTTAAATTGTCAATATATGATCGCTGAAAGAAGCGTCGGATTTCCCAAACTCGATGTAATCGTGTTTAGAACTCAAAACGGGTAACATTACTATTTAAAATCAGGAAAACCTCTTTTGTTTTCGTTTTGTTTTCTATCTAAGGCACACGCTATACGAATGCGGTTGAACGATTGGCAATGTGTAACGACACAGAATCCTATTCAGACGTTAGAACAAGAACGTAGTGAGCTATGCTATTTGGACGCGCTCAAATCATAGTGAAATATTTACTTACTAATAAACATCTACATAATTATACAAGGTGATCATACACATAAATATATACGAATGCAGATTCAAGGATATGCATGTTTAAAAATATTGTGAAACAGATGAACAGATGACTACACACAAAACAAGAGAGAATGCTATAGTCGGGTGCCCCGACTATATGATACCCGTTATTCAGCTTAAGGGAGTGGGAGGGAGATGGAGATATAAAACTTTTCCAACTATTTAACGAATGGTCCGATTTGAAAAACTTCTTCTACATTTCAATAGGTATTGATAAACACAATAAAGCCTAATTTTTACTTTTCCTAAATCTACACTCTACGTGTAACGGGTATAAAAATCGATTGGTAAAATTAACCAATATAATAGTCAAACAGTTCCCAACCACAAAATTGTCAATTCTACCAATCAAATAGTTACTCTCACAACAACAAAATACACAAATATAGCAAAAACACACCCAAAGCAAAAACAAAATACACTTAACCATTTTTAATAATAGAATACCTTTTTTATAGTTACGTAACTATCCGTAAAGGTCAGTTATACCAATCAAATTTTTTTGTGTGTAAACCCTGGAAATTGACTTCTATTAAATTATTTATTTAAATCAACTTCCAAAAACGAATCAATCACAAGCTAAACAGATGTGTTTAAAATAAAAGTAATGAAACCGCCCTTCAGCTTTTAAGGGCCGTTGTGGTCTCTCCTACATACCCTTTCAGATCGTTTCCATGGCAGCAATAAACTGTATATTTGACATAACAACATTTTTTTTTCTTAAAGTTTTGGAATTATTTTGATGTTTATTTTCCTATTTTTTCTATTGCAAATATATAATAAAGTAGTATCTTAAAAAGAAAAAGTATATCCTAATTCTGAAATATTTAAAATGTGATGTAAACCAGAGTAGAAGACAATATGATCAAAAATTATCGAAGCTATAATTATTTTCCCACTTTTCTTTGATTTTGTCTGTGGCAGCTATAACGTAACGTAAGAGCTAAAAAAACAAATTTTACAGGAGAGGGTTTTTATAACCGTCACTCGTTGAGTTAAAGGGTATATTGATTCGTGCAAAAGTATGTAAGAAGGAGAAGGGAGCGTTTCCGACCCTAAAAAATATATATTCTTGATCAGGATCACTAGTCGAGTCGATATAGCCATGTACGTCTGTCCGTCTGTCTTTCTGTATGAACGCTGAGACTTCGGAAACTACAAAAGCTAGAAGGTTAAGATTTCCCACACATATTCTTGGTCTTCCTACGCAGAGCAAGTTTATTTCAGCCGGGAGTCACGCCCCCTCTAACGCACACAATCGGCCACTAACGATTTTAAAATGTGCCTGGCGCCCACAAAGTATAAGTCCAATTTTGTTGTGTATATTTATACCTATCGAATTGGACCATTCATTAAAAAGTTATGCGCAATCAAAAAAATGTTATATATCAGCGGTCGGCACACATATACGTTGACATTTTGTTTTATATTTGTGTGAGTAATTTGCACTGCACTATGGGGCATTTGACCTGTTTTTTTTTTGGCATAAATGTGTTTTACAAGTATTCAAATTACACAGGTACACAGCCAAAAATTTCCACGAACCATTTCAAGTTTTCCATGATATTTGGGTGCTCCTGAGTAAAAGTCCCATACAAAATTATTTTCCATCACCTACAGGTTCCGCGGTATAGCTAAAAATACAAAAAACCGATGTTTGCCGACATTTTGAATTACGTGGCCTATATAATTGGACCAACCTTTATTATTTTCGGTAGGACCTACTCTCAATACATCAAGGCATTCCTAAAAAATAGTCCCCATTGTGAACCATTGCCCATGTCTTTGGAATTCGACGCCAAAGTTGAAAATCCCAAAATTGTAGAGATTTTTCTGATGGAAAAACAATTCTGAGGATTAAATCTTGAATGGAAGTAATTTTAACTATTCATTGTATCTATTGTTCATTGTATGCTTTAATTTCGGTTTAAAGCGTTTTCATGAGAACATTTTATTGGATTTCTTATACTAATAAAACCGATTTTTTTATTTCATTA